GGTTGTCCACCATCGGTGCTGGTGGATGAGCTTCCTCGTTGGTCAGCTCGCTCAGCAGCTAGCGCAGCCAAACAGCTTGGCACGCCACCGTGGCCGCTGCCACGTACTCCGCCTCGCACATAGACAGCGCCACCACCTTTTGCTTCAACGACAGCCATGAAATTGGGGCCGACCCGAGGAAGACAAGCATGCCAGAGGTGCTCCGTCGTCCATCGATGTCGCCCGCCATGTCTGCATGGCTGAAGACCGTGAGCCGCAGCCCACTTTCGTCGCTAGTCATGGGGAAGACGATCACCTGATCCACCTTCCCCTTGACGTAGCGTAGTAGCTGCTTCACCACGGCCCAATGATCCTCTCGGGGATCCTCCATGACGTGGCTCACATAGCCCACGGCGAACGCAATGTCCGGCCTCATGTGGACTAGGTAGCGCAGCCCGCCGATGATGCTCCGGTAGAGTGTTGCACCTACCTTCGCTGTGGTGCTGGCCTTTGTCAGCTTCAGCCGCTCCTCCATCGGAGTTGTGCATAGCTTGCGATCAGCCATGTCGCTCCGCTCCAACGGTTTCACCGCGTACGCGCTCTGACCGAGCGTGAGTGCCTCCTTCCCTTGTTTCACCTCGATGTCGAGGTAGTAGGAGAGCACGCCGAGATCACTCATTCGAAAATGAGCCGCCATCTCGTGCTTGAAGCTGTCGATGTCCTCCGCATGCGCGCCGGGGATGATCAAGTCATCCACATACACGCCGACGATGACCTCCTCTTCCCCCGTCGCCGCGTGTAGAGCATGTGCTCTGTTGCGCAATGCATGAACCCAAGCGCGCCCAGCGTGGCATTGAGCTTGGCGTTCCATGCCCGCGGGGCTTGCCATAGCCCATAGAGCGTCTTGCGCAGTCTGAGCACCTTGTGCTCTACTCCCTTGACGGCAAAGCCTGGAGCTTACCTAACGAAGACCGTCTCCACCAGCTCCCCGTTGAAGAAGGACGATTTCACGTCTAGGTGATGGACACGCGAGTCCTTTGCCACTGCTAGAGCTAGCAGCAGTCGGACAGACTCCATGCGTGCCACCGGCGCAAAAACTTCCACGAAGTCGATGCCCTCGCGCTGGACGAAGCCACGAGCAACGAGGCACGCCTTGTGCTTGACGATGGCACCATGCTCGTCCTGCTTCACCTTGTACACCCACTTCAGCCCGATCAGACAGCATCTTGGAGGCGGATCAATAAGCTCCCAAGTCTCATTTTCCTCGATCGCCTTAATCTCCGCCAGCAGAGCCCATCGCCAATTGGCATCACGCTCGACCAGCGTGAACGTGGGTGGCTCCTCTGCACTTATGAGAAGCAGCTCTGGATCGTCAAGTAGTCGACTCACCAGGCCTGAGGACCCTGTGTTGCCGATGATGTTGTCCAGCCTGCGGAACCTCACCTCCTCGTCATCGTGGAAGGCATCCACGAACTCGCTGATGTCGCTTGGATGAGAGGTGAACTTGATTGGTGTCGATGGAGTCCCTTGTTCCGCCGGAGTGGTCGGCACTACTGCTAGAGTGCTCAGCACCACTCCTAGACCGCTCGGTATCACTTCTGGTGTGGTCAGCACACTGTAGGAGTGCTCGGCACCAGTCCTGGAGTGGTCGGCACCACTGTAGGACCGCTCGGCGCTGCTACTGGAGCGCTCGGCACCCGTCCTGGAGTGGTCGGTACCACTACAGGACCTCTCGGCACCACTACTAGAGTGGTCGACACCCCAGTTGGAGTGCTCAGCACCGCTCCTGTAGTGATCAGCTCTGCTGCTAGAGTGGTCGGCATCTCATCTCTAGCATCTCCACCACTGTGGATGACCAAGTGCTCGACGACGAAGGTGTTGCTGAAGCCGCCAGCTTCCCCCGTGCCCGGACCATCCCATTCCCAGGTCGCCTTCTTGTCGAACATGAGGTCGCGCGAGACAACCACCTTGCCTCTGCACGGGTCATAGAGCCGATAAGCCTTGGTGCTCTCCTCGTAGCCTAGGAGCACCATCGGCGTGCTCCTGTCTTCCAGCTTGGTGAGGACCGGCTTTGTCTTATTGACGTGGCCGATGCAACCAAACATCCTGAGGAAGGACACGCTCGGCTTGTGCCAATACCTAGCTTTGAACGGCGTCACATCCTTTAGGGACATTGTGGGCGCGCGGTTGAGGATGAGCACAGCCGGCATGCTTTTGGCCTTCATCATGGATCGAGCCATGTCGGCCACCGTCTGGTTCCGCTGCTCCTCCACGCCATTCTGCTACGGCGAGTACGGCATGGTGTGGTGTCGCACCACACTCTGATCCACGCAGTACGTTGCGAACTCCACCGAAGTGAATTCACCGCCGCGATCAGTCCTCAGCACGCGTAGCTTGTTCCCAGATTCAGCCTCCGCCTGTGCCTGGAACCTCTTCGTCGCCTCCTCCGCCTCGTCCTTGCTCATCAAGAGTTGCAGCCACATGTAGCGACAGCAATCATCCATGACCAGAAGGAAATACAACCTCCCGCCATGCGTGGCCGGTGTGATTGGCCCGTAGAGGTCGTTGTGGATGAGCTTGAGGGCGTCTACCGTGTGATACATGGCCGCCTTTGGAAACAACAACCTCCTCTGCTTCCCGGCTAGGCAGCTATCACATAGCTCACCCGCGTGCTTGATGTGGGGTAGCCCTCGGACCATCTTCTCTAGCCGACCAAGTGCGTCGAAGCTAAGATGTCCGAACCGGGCATGTCACAGCCATGGGTCCTCGATGTGCCGCACCGCCAAGCACACCGGCTGCTCCACCTTCAAATTGAGCAGGTATAATCGATTATGGGAGCGTTTTACCTTGGCAAGAAGACACCGCTTCCGATCACGGATCTTCAAGATCCCACTCTCAATCAGTACCTTGCACCCGCGCTCATCCAGCTGCCCGATGCTGACGATGCTCGAGCGCAGCTATGGGATGTAGTACACATCCGTCAGCATGCGGTGATCGCCGTTCTGACACCAGAAGATGACAATGCCACGGCCTTGAATCTCCACCATCGAGCCGTCACCGAACCACACAGACCCCGTCATGCCGCCGTCGAGCTCGGAGAAAACCTCCTTGGAGCCGGTCATATGGTTGCTGGCGCCGAAGTACAAGTACCACCTCTGCTCCACCTCACCGCCCACTCGTCCGAGATGGACTTGGGCGCATGGCTTGTCGAGGTCAATGGACCGCGATGCAGTGCCTTGCTCAACAGCCACCACCTCCTCTGCTTTCTCCTCTGTCTCGACATTCTGCAGCGCACAGAATGTCGCCATCAGGAGAGTTAGCTCGTCGTCGTCCACCTGAACCAGGTGAGCCTCAGCCTTCTTCTCCTTCTTTTGGTTCAGGCACTCCTTGGCCCAGTGGCTAGTCTTCCCATAGCGGTGGCAAGTGTCCCTGCCCAGGGGCTCACCGTCCTTCTTCTTCCCCTGCTGCGGGGCCTTGCCATGGTGCTTGTTGGCCCGAGATCTCTCGCACGGGTGAGCAATCCGCTTACCGGCACTCTCGCACACTCACACTAGACTAGAGGTTGAAGAGGGAGTAAGAACAACACACACACCGAACAAGTGCCAGCGTTGGCCAAAACTCTGCTCGGGTGTGGAGAACTGAACTTCTGATGTCTATTGCTATGCATGAGTATACATACAACTCTAGCTGTACCTTGCCGGCTATGATGCGCGGATACTTCTAGAGGGTAGCATATCGCGTACGCGTCGGATACGTCTTGGATACGTATTCCAGGCGTGTCTCAAAAATCAGATACGTATTGGCTCGGATACTTGTATCGGATACGGTTGGGTGGCATGGGATACGGCCCAATACGTCAAACAGACCTCCAGGCCCGCTCGTTCCGTGTGGCCTTCGATCCCCTCTCCACAATCGGCAGTCACAGGCGCGCTCCATCTCTGGCATGACTGGATCCGGCGACCGGTGGCCGGCGAGCTCCATCTCTGGCAGAATTCGACCGGCATGAAGCCTTGAATCTTCTGCTCCATTCTAATACTCTGATTTGGCTCCTTGATTTTCTCTGTATCATCCATCCCATCGCCGTCTCAGAATCAATAACCACTGTTAAAATTCAAAAAACAAACTGGTCATAATTGAATTTTCTCGTAAGGTCTCTATGCTCCTTATTTCACCTTTTTAAATTAAATCGCTGCATTAGTTTGTTCCGTAATTTAAGTTGAACCCTAGATATCTATTTGTTGAACTCATGAAACTTACAATCGGTTTGTTATTTAGTTACTAAATATATTATTAAAGTATACCAGCCGTATCCCGTGTCATCGCTTTTTCAAAAATGGTGTATCCGCGTATTCGATAGGTATCGTATCCGTATCTGAGCTGCATAGCTTGCCAGGTACAAGGGTGGTTGGCAAGTACTCCAACCCCCAACTACTCCCATGTCCTATTGTCATGCTGCTATAGTGACTAGGTGTGACAGCAGGGCTGACTTTTGTGCCATCCCCTGCTGCGCGGGTACAGAGGGAGCAGCATATTATTTCTAACAATCTGGACTAATATCTTTAAGGCCCACATATCAAGGTCAAAGCCATTGTTTGCAAGTTTTTCTATATATATTAAGAGACCATATACAAGGCGGGACAAATTGAGGGTCACTGATGCATTTTGCTTTACTAGTTTAAAGCAACTAGTGAGCTACCATGAGAAAGAAATGCAATAATGACCCATGCGAAGAATAATCTTAACACATAAAAGAAAAAACAGACTTTTCTAAAACGAAACCAAGTAAAAATAAGATAAATCCTTGCAAACGTCTAAGCATTATTAGAACTAAAAGACACAGTACCCCTGACGAACTGAGATAAGTACAATCAGAGGTGCCGTGCAGTGCATGAGGATAAGTGGATAACAACTCGAAATAGCATTCACTTGGTCATCGGGCTTCTAGTATGGGATGGGATGGTCAGATGGACGCCTGTTGCACCCCTGAGCCATGGAACTAAATATATCTTGATCAAGTCTTCTTACCTGGAGCATGGGACTATTGGGATGGACGCCTGCTGCGTCCCTGATGTCATTCTCCAAAGCCTCCACCTCATCAGCAATGCCGCGTCACACCAATAACTGCGGAAATGAAACTTGAGCAAACGCTGAAATCCTTGTGGGTTGATTGCGTTCCTTGGGTAGACGATGCCTGAATCTCCATCTTTGTCATTGAATAAGCCAACAGTAAGAGAGAGCAGCATGGGTAAACTTGCTAGAATATTTATTCCTTCCTTGCTTGCTTCACCACGGACAAAAATACGGAGGCGGAAGCTTGTTCGGCTGAGCAAGAAGCCGGCTTGTTTTTTCAGCCGAGACAATGTTTTTCTCTCACAACAAACCAGCATAAACAGTGTTTTTTCATACCAGCCGAAGGTCAGGTTGACTAGTGAGCTGATGGGGACGAATTCTTTGGATCTGGAGTATGGGACAGTTGGGATGGACGGCTGCTGCGCCCCTGATGTCATCCTCCAAAGCCTCCACCTCGTCTGCAACAGCAGCGCCGCAGTTAATATCTATAGCCAGATGTTTGAGCCCTGCCAGGTTCTGCAACCCAAGGACGAGGCCACCTTCCCCAAACTTGAACTGGCACCGTGCCATCAGTTCCAGCTTGAGCCTTTCCAGCTTTGGCATGGCTCCCGGCTCAAACTCCAATGCCGTCTCGCGCCAACAGCCCAAATTAAACTTGACCAAACGCTGGAATCCTTGTCTGCTGATTGCATGCCTTGCGTAGAGGATGCCTGGATCTCCATCAAGGTCATTGGATAAGGTAACAGTAAGAGAGAGCAGCATGGGTAAACTTGCTAGGATATTTATTCCTTCCTTGCCTGCTTCACCACGGACAAAAATGCAGAGGCGGGTCAGGTTGACTAGTGAGCTAATTTGAGGGCCCACACTATTTAAGTTATGTGTATCAAGAAAAAGCATTTGAAGCGGTGGTGGAGTAGGGACACACGAAGCCATGAATGAACATGTGGCATCACGATCACTCTGCCACACATGTAGTTCTCGCAGGCGACTGAACAGCCTGGAGAGCGTTGAGATACATGCTTCCATGTGATCCTTCATATCCTTCATAACATGTAATCCATTAGAGAAGGGCCAAACAATTTTAAGTAATTTCAGATTGGTCAGATCACCGAGTCCTTGGATAAACTTTACAGATTGAATATCCAAATTGATCAATGATAGCTCTTCCAACGCCTGCCGACTTCCGATTCCATCGGGTAGGCGCACCGACGCATCGACAAAAAGGCGCACCAACTTATGCAACTGGATAATACATGTTGGTAGGTTTTCAAGCCTGGCCCATCTCACTTCTAGTGTCTCTAGACGTTGCAGCTTTTCTATATCTTCTGGAAGCTTGATGGCCGAATATTTGGAGAGTATCCTCAAGTACTTCAACTGACCTAAACTTTTGACATGTCCAAGAGGGCATTGACAATATTCAACTTCAATATTCAGCACTCGCAAGACTTGGCTGTTTAAGAACTCTGTGGCATGCTTATTAACCAGAACTGAATTTGAGCCAAAGATATTGATGGACCGGATCTGAGCTCCATTTTTTATTGTCTTGGCAATCTCTTCCGCCTGGGAAGAAATGTCTTTTTGGATGGATAGACGGCGAATCTTGTTCGAAGAATAATTTTTAGAAAAACCATTACCATTCCATATAGTAACAAAGTTGTCCTCCACGGCTTTTGATACAATGAACTCAAGTATGACATCATGAACTATGCACTGTTTCGCTGTTGTGCTATCTACGTCAACATTGGTTGGCTGCACCAAACTTCTATTGATGAGCTCATTCAAGTAACTTCTCCCTAGCTGCTCCATACTTTCCCTGTCCTGTCCAGGAATCAGTCCTTCGGCTACCCATAGCAATATCAACTGTTGGCAATCAATCAAAGAATCCTCTGGAAACACACTCAGATATAGCAAACAGCTCTTTAGATGGTGAGGAAGGTCAACGTAACTCAGCAGCAGAATTCTTTTCATCCTATCAATGGGAGAATCTTTGTCAACAGCAGCAGCAATAGACCTCAATACATTGACCCAGACTTCCACTGCTTTACTTCTGTTTGCTAATAAACCAGCTATACTGATTATGGCTAGTGGTAAGCCGCAACATTTCTTTAAAATATCATCGGATACTTTCCTCAAATTTGGGTGGCAATCATCACCGGACAAAAATAGCCTCTTAAAGAATAATCTTTGGGAGTCCTCATGACTAAGGGGCTTTGCTTGATACATTTGTGCAGCAATACCAGTACAACAAGATTTGGCTACTGCTTCAATGCGTGTTGTAGTAATAATTCTGCTTCCATTGTCATTGACAGGTAAGGCAGATCGTACAAGCTCCCATGCTGATACACTCCAGATATCATCAATCAAGATGAAGTACCTGCATACATTGGTTGTGGAATCATGTTATTAATTATGTAAGGCAACCATGAATTGAAGCGTATTCCAGTGAAGTTAAAGATGTCAGAGAAATGTAAGATGGATCGTAGTGGCACACTTTTTTATCAGTAATTATTACACATGAGAAATACAGTCTGTAAACTACCATTATTTAAAAAATATGTCACAACCTCCAAAATGGTAAGTGCCGCATTAGAACACCTAGAGACCCAATCAAAAGACATGACACATTCAGTTAAAAATGTGTTCCAAAATGAGATTTTTATGGATATTTAGAATTCTGGTCATATTTTCCAAGAAGTAATTTTACTGAATATGGATTAGATGGTGTAAAGTAAAATTTTTACCAAAATGATGCACAGTTGACTTGAGTTTGTTCATTGTTGCAACATCTTTAATGATGACATTTGATAGATATGCTGAGCCATTGAAGTATCTGAGGTAATTTTATGCTGTCAAGTTCATTAGGCCAGGAAAAAATGAATCATTTTTTAAAATTCCCAGAAAATTTCATAAATGGCCTAATAATTAGGTGAGCTCATGTGATGAACAAATATTGCACGACATTATTCTAGCTAGATGAACTGGTTAACTATTAGAAAAAGAAATAATATTGATTACCTCTTGTCCTTTAAGCATTCTTTCACTGTGCGGATGAGCTGCTCAACTGTGTCTAACATCTGTGACTGGTCAAAATGGCTCTTGCTTATTTGAGACAATATATCTCTAAGAAGTTTCTTCATATCTGGAGTTTGTGATACAGACACAAAAGCCTGGCTATCAAAAGCAGCTTCAGTGATTTTGTGGTACACCTCTATGGCGAGAGTGGTCTTCCCCTGTCCACCTATCCCATAGATGGACACCACCTTGTGCTCCTTGTCTTCACATCTCAATAAGCTGATGATCTCCTCACGAGGAGCATCGATTCCAACAAGATCCCTGGCCTCCTGAAAGAGTGCAGGTGCTCGAGGATCCAAGAGCACTGGCTGAGATGAAGAGGCGAGGAGACACTGATTGATGTCGTAGTAGCGTTTCCCCCGCTCGCTCTGCTCGCTCACGAGCCTCTTGAGTCGTCGGATCTCCTCTGCTATTCCTCTGTCCTTGAACAACGTTTTCACCATTTGAATGGCCTTGTGCACGAAGTTGGCCGTGGAACCTCCATCTCCATGGCTGTGATTGAGCACAAAACGGTCGATGCAATCCTCAATATCGTAGGACAGCTCACGCACCTTGCTCCTCCAGTCTTTGGCGAGTGGATCGATCTGGTCGTCATCCTTGTCTTCGAGCCTCAGCAGCATGGCTTCCATGGTGCGCAGCTCGTCTTGCAGGGACCGGATCCCTTGCTTGACGTCTCTGGCGAGGTTGTACTTGTCGGTGAGCATGGCGGCCAGCTTGTCGATGACGGAGCCCAACACACCCGTGGCGGCGCTCGAGATCACTTCGGCCATCTTGACTCACGACTACTGGCTGAGCGAAATGCTAGCTAGCTTGTGCGGTGGTATGAGAGAGGATAGGTGATTCAGTTCTCAGGTTAAAGTGGGGCAAACAACAACGCATCCCATTAGTTAAATATATAATGGGATTCGATTATATTTCTACGGCTGAGCACTGGGAATGACACGAAGTTTCCTTGCAGTTTCCTCCTTAACCACTTTCTTCCACCAACTCTCGCTCGCTCAGTTTTTATATTTCGGCCAGGCCATCTCAATCCGCAAGCCATGTGACGATAAGTGCTGCTGTGCTGGCCGACGCGCAACTTGCGATGTCACGCCAGGAAGTAAAAACAATATTCAACTGGTTGGAGACCAAGCAAACCCCGATATCGTAGGATAGCTCATCAGCTTCGGAGTTAACCTGGCCCATAGGGCACCTGGTGCCTCCGATTGTCAACTGTTTTCTTTTTTTCCTTTTTGATTGACACGGCACATCTCGTTGTCAGGAAAGGAGTTCCAAGCCATGCCCTGCACTGCACATATACCCCCTTTCCTCGTTCAAAAGGAACTCTAATTACTATAGCGACCATGTCCCCTGGTACCATTGATTCCTATAGCGCAGTTGATTTGGCCCATTCATCTAGGAAATGGACGTTCCATCCTGGAGCCATGTGCGTGTGCTCAGCCCGTCTCGCAGGAAGCAACTTCAAAGAGATGAAGAAGGCGGCAAATGATCTGACCTATAAGGATTGTCCAAAGGAATGGACGGTGCTATGTTTCAATCTGTAGACGCTGATATTGAAGGCTCATTTCGGATGGTCTGACGCTAGCTTCAACGAGTTGTTACGTCTCCTTGGTTCCCTGCTTCCAAAGGATAACAAAGTGCTAATACGTATCGGCCACGGGGTTGCAGGCGCTAGGCCCAAGCGGGCCCGGCCTAGGCCAACCTAGTCGGAAAACGGAGGAGCAAGAAAGCCGGTCATGGTGGAAACTCACCAGAGAAGAAGAAAGGACAGGGACGTGATGAAACGGTGATAGATTTGCAAAAACAAGTATACCACGGCATAGAGAATGATGAGATCTACCTTGTGCTGGTGGTTGACGCCGGAATGCGAGGGTTTAGCCGGAAAAGCTCGCTAGAGAGTTCACCGGAAACCTAGTTTTTCGGAACTTCGGCTTTAGATCCAGGACAATAGGAGTGACCATCGAGGAGAACACTGACAAATATATGTCTTGGGTTTAGAAAAGTTTCAGAATTTCTTAATTTTAGGATTTATTTCCTGTTTTAATATAATTCTAGGAAATATCTGAAATCGTATTTAAGTCACGAAAAATCACCGAAACTAGAGAAAATTCCCAGAGGTAGATATGATCATTATGGATTAAAAGAATGAGTTTAAAGCTCATGAAAAGATTATTAGAAAGATCAAGAGAATGATTAAGCTCAAGGAAAAAGGAATTTAATTCTAGAAAAGGTTGGAAAAAATCCCAAAGAGAGAAAATCGTTGTCCTAACGTATTTTGAATCATTTTCACACATAAACACCAAATGCAACCGGCATGAATGCAAAGCCCTGTCGAGTTAAATTATAAAAGTTATTTAAAAATCACATTTTGCACTTTTTAAACAGCTGAAAGCCGTTTTAAATCTTAGAAATTCTAGAAAAACTATAAAATCATTATTTATTTAGTTTCACCTATTCACAACCTAAAATAGGAATTTTGGTGTGTGACACTGGCTTGCTCGTGCCCACGCACTGCCTTGCGGCCGGGCGTCTACGATGGCGACCGGCTTGCGGGCCTGCACGTCCTTGGTGGCGGCGGCACTCTTGGTGGCTTGGGGGCGACCGGATCTGTGACCTAAGGAGAGGCAATGGCTTGGGGTGGCTAGGCCCGAGCCGTGCGGCGGTGACCGGGTGTTCGCTGGCGGGGTCTAGCAACGGCCGTGGTGGCCGGGCCAGCGCCAGCCCCTCCCTACGGTGGCTGCGGGTGGCGCGCTCGCCTATGGTAGTGGCGGCTGGTGGCTTGGGGAGGGCCTAGATCTGCACGTCCGCAGGTGTTGCCCTTGTGTTCGTGGTTGCACAACACTTCGGGGCTAGCATGGTGCTTCGGTTCGTCTCCGACATTTGGATGGCAACTGTGTCAGAGCCGCCTTCGTGTTGTCGGGCGTTGTCAAAACACCGGCGAACTTGTTGTTCGGTGCTTCAGGGCCAATGTTTGGTTGCTGAAAGGATCAAGATGCCCAAGAGGGTGGTGAATTGGGCTTTTCTAAAAATTCTTGCAATAATTAAGTCCTATACTTAGCCCACTTCACCCCTAGTGCCTAATTGTGTATCCTATTGTTATATCGCACAAAGAGTTTAACAACCTAGCTTCCAATCCTACTCTAGCATGGTGAATCGCCACTCCGGCATGGTGAATCGCCCACAACCGCTCATAAGATGAGTTGGGTCATCCACAAGCTCCGTCGGAAGATCACCAAGCTCCCAATCACCACCAAGCCATCTAGGTGATGCTGATCACCAAGAGTAACAAGCACAAACTCTCACTTGACCCAAACAAGGCTAATGAGGAAGGTGGATGCACACTTGCTACTCCCTACACACTAATAAGGTCCTTAATCTTGGATTATCAAATCTCAATCACCTCACTAGGCATTTGCTCTCACTTAAACTCCAAATGGTTCCCTCAGCTGAACAAATGAGCAAGAGAGGTATGTTCGACAAGTAGGAGATGTATATATAGCCCCCACTTTCAAACATACCCATTGAGGTCCAACTCAGCATTTTCAGTGGTGACCGGACGCGTTCGGTCAGTAGCCAACGGCTACGTGATGCCAGCACTAACAGGCAACAGCTAGTGTGACCGGACTCTGCCAGGGTCCGGTCCACACCGACCGGACGTGTCGGTCAATAATTTCCCTCTCTGGAACATCTCTATCTTTGATCGGACGCGCTAGCCTCCAGCGTTTGGTCCGACGGGCACAGCGTCCAGTCCTCTCAGAGGACCAAACCCTAGGCACAGTCGTGTCCGGTGCAGACATTGTGTCAGAGTCCGGTCGATTGTAGGGCTTCCTCTATGCTATCTTACACTGATCGAACGTGTCTGGTCCCTCTGTCACACCTCCAAACACTCCAAATTCAAGGCACTTTGTGAATGGGGTTGACTTCAAATGATCTTTGGGCTAACTCTGAGCTACCTAGTGCTAAGTTTGACAAGTGTGCACCACACCTAACACATTAGACTCACTTAGATCAAGCTACTAGTTTATACCCCCTTAATAGTACGGCCAAAGGAAAAATAAAACCCTAAACTAATCTAAGTGTCTCTCCAACGCCAAATGACACTTAGGACTAGCCGTCCTTAGCCTTGTTGTCCATCCTTTGAAAACCAAAATGATTTCCATCAACAGGGGCATGAATACCATTGATTGCCCAAACAATCACCATTATTATGACCTAACTCAAATTGTTTCTACAAAACACACGTTAGTCACAATAATCTTACGTTGTCATTAATCACCGAAACCCACTAGGGGCCTAGATGCTTTCAGTTGCTTCAGGCAACCTGTGAGCTATGGCTTCAGGCCATGCTCAACTACCATGGTGCTTACACACACATACATAGGTGATGAGCTTGTGATGTGTTTGTTCATCGCATTTGTGTGTAGAACTTATTTCTCACCTTCTTACCGTTAGCTTGCTGATAACGTGTTAGAAATAAGTCCTTTGCACACACAGGAACAAAACCACAACAAGAACACGGAGTGAAGAGGAAGTGAGAGCTCTTTCTATATGGCTTTCTTTTTTTGTGATTACACAGTACAACTCAGACACTCACAACGCACGCACACTCACCCCTATGAACGCACACATGCAAACCCTACCCCTATGAGCATCTTCGAAGATTGGGCCTGCAAATCCTCGAGATTGACGAAGTCACCACAGGCATCTCATTGTCGATGGAAACGTCGCCTCCCACTGAAAGCACAACGCCGTTAAATTCTGAAATATTCGCTCCCACAGGGAGTCAAACCTAGAACCTAAGGTGCTACTGAGACTCTTGTAACCACTAGGCTAGAGACCCTTTCGCTTGCTTGTTACAAAGGTCAAAGTGATCTACTATTTATAGGAAAAGGATGTTCTATGAATTCTAGTTTTATAGTGTGAATTCTCATACTTTTCTTCTCTTCCTCATTAATTTGACCACTCTCAAAGTCTCCTTTTTGATACATGTATTTTGACTTTGATTTCATAACACAGGGCACTCTTTCTATCAAAACACGCATGGATCCTTCCATGGGTAAGATCATAGCACGAACGTTATAGCTCCTCGGAAGAGGCCTCATGATCTGGCGGCCAATCTTGGTTCACCACATGGGCCCCGTTCGCTTGGCAGGATTTGGCTGGAAAACACTGTTCCGGCTGAATTATTGTGAGAGAAAAACACTGTTTCGGCTGAAAAAAGAAGCTGAACAAGCCAAAACTTAAGGTCAGCCGAACGAGCCCATGGCCAATGGTGTGGTGCCACTACTAATTTCTGACCCTTATACCACGCTTTTTTGTCGCAACGGCATGGTTTCGTTGCAACAAGCGTTGTTATCACAACAATTTTCACTTTTGGTTGCGATAGATTGGTTTTTTGCCATGAAGATTGTTTTGTGGCCATAAGTGTGGAGATCGTTGCAAAAAGTAAGTGTTATCGCAACAAATTATTGAACGGTTGCAATAAGTGATTAATGTTGCCACGATTTGATTTGCGTTGCGGGCAAGTTTATTTTCGTTGCAATACTAAGGTGATATTGCAACTCTTTATTTTATGGTTGCAATAGCCCATCTATATCGCCACGAATATATTCCGTTGTATATAATAGTCGCTTGCGTTGCAAAAAATTGGTACATATAGCAACGAAAGAAAATAGTTCGTTGCAATCACTAAGGTTGCAACGATTATGGTTTCGTTGTATGTAGCAGTTTCGTTCATTGCAAAAAGGTTATAATATAGCAACGAAAAATT